AGAACAGGAAATGTGACCAAAAGGAAGACGTGCAGTATACCAGGAACGCCGCCACACTTCCACTGCTGGTTCAAGCATCAGTCTATACACTGAGAATGTATTTAGAAACCTCTTTTGATGAAGCATCTTACATACTAGAAATTATGACGTGCTCTTACAGAATATAAAGTTGAAAACCGCCCAGAATTTGTCTCCAAATGAGCTGGCACTATGCTGAAACTGCACTCAGTAGCAGCAGCAAACAGCCCCCTCCCTCCAAACTACACACCACCCCAAGTACTGACCAATTATCTTTCATAAGGAAGCACCGCTCTTACCTTGCTAATGAATGTTGGTTTTAATTGGGCAGTAGCATAACAGGGGTTAAAATATCTGCTGAGTGTTCTCTGTTTGGGAAGAAAAGAGATTTAAAAAAAAAAAAAGCAATTATATTCAACTTTATACACTTCCTCACACCATATAAAAGTCAATTGTAGCAATAAAGCATTATACTGCTACTGCTCTTACATGATTTATTACACATCATATACAGGAAAAAAACCCCACGTTATCAGTAGCTCTGACTTATCTTTATGAAACCTATTTTATGAAACACTGTTCTGCTTACAAATCTATCGGGCAAAAGAGTGAGCACAGCATTGCCTCTTACGCTACCCACCCAAGTTTTGAGCAACCATCAAGTCTCAAGATGAAAATCTCTTGGTTACAACTCTGTTAAAGGCTTATTCATCTTTTTATACTTGTAAAAATACAGATGATTTATGAAAATAAAGTTATTATGGGTTCATACAATTTTGTTTAGTGCTACACACTTACCGGTGGAGAAAGAGTTTTGTATCGCACATAAAAAACAGCAGCAATGAGCGCTACATCTCTCAGAATAATCATGGAAGTAAGTGAAACTGAAAAACCAAGAGTGAAAAATCACGCCTGCGATTATAAATCAAAACACAATCAGAAGAGCACAAAATAAGGACCAACAAGAAGAAATAACTACTCAACTACTTCTGAACAAGTTCTATGCATGGCTGAAAATCTTTAATCTGAAAAGGTTTCACCTTAAGTCTTACAACCATCCAGCCTACGAGAAAACGTTTTACACAACTACTGAATACTCTGGCTTTAAAAAAAGTACATTTGAAAATGGCAGTGCTGATTTTTGTTTTGCAGATCTGCTGTGGTGGTGGAGGGACTTTTTTTTTTAAGAACTTAGAAGAAATAGCAAAGTGCTACTGACAAAGCAAGAGTTACACACAATAAATATTTCTATGTGTAGAGTTAGCTTCTTTCCCTTATTTAGTATACGCAAGTAATGACTTTTTCCTCACCTGGAATAAGATTCGCACAAGTTAGGCTTACATAGAGAACACTGATGAGAATTTTATCAGCCAGAGGATCAAGAGCACTTCCCAAAGCTGACTTCTGATTAGCCCAGTTTCGCGCAATAAATCCATCCAACTAGGGAAAAAAAAAAAAGTTCAATGTTTCTCTGTTAGAAAATTAAGAATAAAAATAGCTTGTATAAGCTACGGTTACAGAGGTGTTTCATGAAAGACATCACATAATACAGCTATAGTTTAACCAAGATGACATGTGATACCCGTCGGGCGATACTTGTATCATGCTTTGTTCACACTACCTTGCGGATTCTGGAAGCCTCTGAACATACTCAGTTCTCATTATTTTTAAAAATAAAAATTTATAACAAAACAAACCAAACCAAAACTGGCAAAGGTAACTGATGTTCTGAAGTTCACACGATTACTCTCCTGACGGGTACACCTGCATATTGTAACAGACCACTAGATGCGTAAGGACTGACTGGACAATGCCCACCCGGGGCTGGTCAGGGACCCTCGATACCCTCTTTGCTCCACCAGCACTGAAGTCCCCTTCAGCTCCCTGCGAGCTCCCTTCGCAATGACGCAAAGGCGCATTTACCGTTTCTAAAAACCAACGAATCTGTTGAAGAACTCATCTGTTCATTTTCATTCTACGCCGGAGTCTCATTTTCAACACGCGTCAGTGGGATCACCGTAAGCCCCGCTACCCCCGAAACGTTTCCAAACTGATGTAAACATACCAAATCCGTTACGCCAGCCAAAACAAAGACACCTAGTGCAACATTGAAATTTTCTTCAACAATCAAATAGCCTAAAACTGGCGCCAAACCCATTCTCGCCATTGACAGTATGTTTGGGATGGTCCAGGGGTTTTCATACTGCAAAGCAAGAAAGCAAAAACTTCAGGCCAGGAAGACAAGCCCTGACTTGGTATACAACAGAATTAAGACAAACACACGCTTTTAAGTTCAAGTAGCCAGAAAGCGCTGGCGAG